GTAGGCAGTTCGGGTGATGGTGATGATGACTAGGGTGGTGATGGTGGTGAAGAAAGACATGGTCGGTGTTGCCGGCTCCTCTGCTGGTGGTGATCGTTGTGGTGGTGGCAGCCCTGCAGGTTCGCCGCCACAACAGCCGCCAGAGGTGAAGAGACATTGGGGACAACGGTGGTGGTGATCACCACTAGATCCACTGCATTTAGAAGACCACCACCGTACAATACTGAACCAGGAACAGAATCCCGGTTTGTTTTGTTTTTGGATTCCCACAAAAAGTGTAAACAAAGCACTGAAGAAAAAAGGCACGTGGGTCACACAAAACACAGCTGATAAGTTACACTTTTGACCACTAGGCGGCGGCGGCAGCGTCGGCGCCAAAGCTCAATTTTTCTTAGCAAGTCCAATTTGCTGCTACTCATCATCTCGTTCCATCGGTGATTAACAACTGTTGTTGGTGTTATTGATTGATTGGTTTAAGAAATGCAACATGTCATTCACCTGCTTTTCACACATGAAAAACTCACTCCACAAACGATCAAATTAGCAGAAATTAGTAAAAGCAAACATGGGTAGTAGTGTGTGTGTGGGTGAATAGTTTGGAGAATGCGTTTAGCGCTCTAATGATGATAGGTGATGGGCTCTTGATGGGCAGCAGGATTTGTGGTGTGTGTGTGTGTGTGTTTGGCGACGACTGCTCTACCAGGACTGCTAGCGCCTGCCCAGCTTGACCATCGCCGTCTTGCAAGCCGCCTCCAGCTGGTCCCTTTCGTAGTCAATCTCCTCCTTGTCGGCGAGTGAGTTTCGGCCCAGCCAGGCCAAGGTCTGCGCCACCGCCTGCAGGGCGTCGCCTCGCTCCTTGGCAGACAGTCGCGCCCCAGCAGCGACAGCAGCAGCGGCGGCGGCGCCGGCCACTCCCTCCAGAGCGCCCTTCAGCTCGTAGGCGTAGTCCTCGAGGCCGTTGAAGGCCTTCACTCGCTCCCGCTGGCGGTCATCCTCCGCCTTGAAGCGCCTCGCCTCGCCCATCATGCGCTCAATCTGCTCGGCGGAGAGGCGACTTCGGTCGCTGTTGTTGATCAGCATGCTGCGCTGCTTGTTGTTGCTCTTCACCGTGGCCGTCACCTCCAGCAGGCCGTTGGCGTCGAGGAAGAAGGTGACGTCCACCTTGCCCTCCTTGCGCGGCGCCCGCGGAATGCCCTCCACCCTGAACTCGCCGAGGAGGTGGTTGTCCTTCATCTGCGCCCGTTCGCCCTCCAGCACCTTGATGCAGATGGCCGTCTGGTTGTCGAAACAGGTCGCAAAGGGCTTCGTCATGCGCGCCGGAATGGCGCTGTTCCGCGGAATGATGTTCGCCATCAGGTCGCCCTTGACGGTGATGCCCAGCGACAGGGGCGTCACGTCGACGAGGAGGATGTCCGTCAGCTCCAGGGGGGAGGAGGCGTCACCGACGCCGCCGCCGAGAATGGCCGCCTGGACGGCCGCTCCGTAGGCGACCGCCTCATCGGGGTTGATCGACCGGTTGAGCTCCTTTCCGTTGAAGAAGTCCTGCAGCAGCTTCTGCACCTTGGGAATGCGCGTCGAGCCACCGACGAGAATGATCTCCTGAATTTGGCTCTTCTCCAGCTTCGCGTCGGCCAGCGCCCTGCCCACCGGCTCCAGCGTCGAGGCGAAGAGGTCCGAGCAGAGCTCCTCAAAGCGAGCCCGGGTGATCTTGGCGCTGAAGTCGATGCCCTCGAAGAGCGCGTCCACCTCCACTGTGGCCCAGGTGGCGGCGGAGAGGGCTCGCTTGGCCTGCTCGCAAGCGGTTCGCAGCCGGCGAAGGGCGCGCCTGTTCGTCGTCATGTCCCGGTTGTTGACCCGATTGAACTGCTGCGCAAAGTGGTCCACCAGACGGCTG